GCCGCCACCGGCTGTGTCCCAGCTCAACTGCCCCTTCCTCTGGGACGCCCTCCCTACGAACAAATGGCCATGTGACAGAGGTATCTCCGGTCCCCATTCCTCAGGTGAGGGCCCCGAGCTCCTAGGGGCAGTCACACTCACAGATACAGAGAACATGTCCCCGGGCGCCCGATGGGAGGGGCTGTGGGCGTGGGTAAAAAAGGCGATTAAATACAAACGAGTGGTTACAGAACAGTCATGGTGACGTAAAGGGTAGCATAGGAAATACAGTGGGGCCTTGACTTACGAGTGTCCTGACTAACGAGTTTTTCAAGATACGAGCCGTCTCTCGGCCGATTTTTTGCTTTGAGTTGCAAGCTAAAATTCGGGTTACAAGCCAGCTTCAGATACCCCACCGCTAGTTGGCGCAGCGAACGTCACAGTGAACGCCACAACATCAGCCCAGCATCACGTGTCTCACTCGTTCACTTTTTGATTTGACATACGAGTAATTTGAGTTACGAGCTCCGTCACGGAACGAATTAAACTCGTAAGTCAAGGCCCCACTGTAGTCTATATCCCCTACTGCATTAGGGTAATACCATACGCAATGCACATTACTGAATGTTATAGTAACTATATGGTGTCAGGTGGGTACCAGTTCCATCAGGGTGACCACTCCATACGTTATATAAATGTCTATCACTGGGTTGTACACTTGAAACTAATATATCATATGTCAACTGTAATTTTAGAAGGGCCTCAGACACCCGGGACCCCACACCTGGAGCCGAGGCTTCCTCCCCCAACCCACCAGCCTCGGAGCCCACAGAGCAGGGTTCAAAGCCAGCTCCACACTTAGCAACTGCGGATGGCCACGCTGACCGGGGCAGGGCCACAGCCACAGCCACAGCCTGGGCTGTCACCCGTCACGGGGGATGCCCGAGGGCAGGGCCCGGCACACAGTAAGCACCTGGGAAACACGGCCACCACCTCCCTGCGCCGGGCGCCGGGGGCTCAGGAAACCCGAGGGGCCCGGTTTTCTCATCAGCACCACCGTTCTGACCCCATTTTCCAGAATCGGAAAGAAATCCAGGTTCCGAGACGTGGCCTGCCTCCCCAGGCACAAACTCTGCCCCCTGTGCGGGGGGGATCCCTCTTTGCCTGGTGTGCCCCCCCCCCCCCCCCCCCCCCCGCCGCGCCCCCCCTAATAATAATAAATTAGTATTTTAATATTTTAAAAAATAAAAATGAACAAGAGGGGCCGTCAGAGCTTGGAGGGAGACGAGCTGGACTTGCACCCCGGTCTCTCTGGCTCAGGGACGGGCGCTGGCACCGAGGCCGGCTTCCTGGAACTCCCGCATCCCGCCCAGCAGAAGGGAGACTGAACAGTCCTCCTCTGTCCCCTCCCGCCCAGCACCCAGCGGAGGAGCAAGTGAAGACTGGTCCCCACCTTGTTTGTTCTGCGGCTGCGAGAGAGGTGGGGACGGCAAGAGGCCTCTCTTTTTAAAAAAATTATATTTTTATTGATTTCAGAGAGGAAGGGAGAGAGAGAAACATCAATGATGAGAGAGAATCATTGATCTGCTGCCTCCTGCACGGCCCCTACTGGGGATCGAGCCCACAACCCGGGCATGTGCCCTTGACCAGAATCAAACCCGGGACCCTTCAGTTCACAGGCTAACGCTCCATCCACTGAGCCAAACCAGCCAGGGCTCACGAGACCTCTCTTGGCGGGCGCAGGGGGGCACAGACGCCAGCGCTCCTGCCAGGACTGCCCCCCGGGCTCCAGTGTGGAAGGAGAGCCTGGACTGTAGAGTCATTCAGGCCTGGGCTCCAAGCCCAGCTCTGCTGTCTACCTACCACTGAGCACCGGAGCCTCCGCCTCCTCGCCTGTAACGTGGGCACAACTGCAGTAGCTTTTCATGGGTTTGCAGAAAGAAGTAAATGAGATCAGGCATGTGCAGTACCAGCCCTGGGATTAAACTGGGGGCTGTCACTGATTATAATCAGAGGAGGAAGGAAGGGTTAGGAGCGCAGGTTCTGACATCAGATATAGCTGGTCCCTGTCCCGGCCTTGGAACTAGCAGCTGTGTGATCCTGGGCAAATCACTTCCTCTCTCTAGGCCTCAGTTTTCCCACCTGTAAAATGGCACCACACCTCCTAGAGCTCTTGGCAGATGCCAGTGACCTCAGAAATGTGAAGCACCCACTCAGTGCCAGCACCTAGTAGGACTCAGGGGACAGTGGTTCCATCCACCAGCCAGGTGGGAGACGGAGACCTGGACCCGTGTCCACTAGCAGCTGTCACATGACTTCGGGCTTTGTTCTGTGGGAACAAATGCCACATGTTGAGGCAGGAAGGAGTGTCGTTGGGGGTACAAGCATTGAGGGGGGAAATTAGACACCCCAGAAACAGCCCTGTCCCCCTCACTGGGGACCCCAAGTCAGGAAGAGAAGAGGCGTTGGTTACATGCCTCCACTGTCACACCCTCCTAATGACCACACCCCTTTCCAAGGCCCCCTCCCCCACTGGGGCTGGGCCTCATGGACACCCCCTCAGGGAGCTCCCAAGGCCAGAGGTAGCTGGGAGGGCCCCTTCAGACCCCCACCATGATGCACCCCCTCCTCTAAGGAACCCCAACCTGAACAGCATCAGGGTTTCTAGGGGCTCCACAGCTGTGCATCTGAAGTCAGCCAGCCTGGGGTTCAAACTTCCCGCCAGCCGCTCACCGGCTGCTCGTAGCCTTGGGCAAGGCACAGGGATCAGCATTAGCATTTAATTATGATGAAATCATAACTATGAGATAAACCGCCATCATTCTCAGGATTCTGCTGCCCTCACCCTGTGCCAGGGACCGGCCTATGCGCTTCCCACGCACACGCTCACCGGATCCTCCCTGCAACCCGAGTCCAGTGGCTCCCAGTGGGCCACTCGCTCCCCAGCGACACTTGGCAATGCCTGGGGACAATGTCACCATGTGCAGCGAAGAGCGGGCTACTGGCGTCGAGGGGGTCAAGGCCAAGAATGTGGCTAAACATCCCACAATGCAAGGACAGTCCCAAACCAAAAGGTCTACAGAGCTGAGGTTGCAAGGCCCTGCCCTGCAGGTAGGCACTGCTATAATTCCCATTTTGCAGAGGAGGAGACTGAGGCTCAGAGAGGTTAAGTGCCTGAGGCCACAGAGCAGGTTCATAAGAGTCAGGAATCAAACCTGGGCAGCTGGCTGCAGAGCCTGGGCCGCCCTGACCCCTGGGCCTGGGCACAGCCAGGTGCCGGTGCCGGGCACCACCCGAGCCCTGACCGTATCCTGTTCAAGCTGCAAAGCAGCCTGGAAGGAAGGATCCCTGCTACCAGCTCAGGCGCGTCTCTGAGCCTTAGTTTCCCGCCTGTACAATGAGGTTGTGATCGCAGCATCTATGCCACAGGGCTGCTGTGACCTGGGGCTGGTCGGGTGTCTCCTGGGCCCTTATTAAGCATTTGAAAAACGCTTCAGCTCTAGCTGGTTTGGCTCAGTGGATAGAGCGTCGGCCGGGGGACTGAAGGGTCCCGGGTTCCGTTCCAGTCAAGGGCACGTACCTTGGTTACAGGCACCATCCCCCGCCCTGGTCGGGGTGTGCGGGAGGCAACCAGTGTGTCTCTCTCACATCGATGTCTCTCTCTCTGTCTCTCCTCTCCCTTCCACTCTCTCTAAAAATCAACGGGAAAATCTCCTGGGTGAGGATTAACAAAGAAAAAGCTCTCGTCACCATCACCGTGTGAAAGCCCCGGGTACTGTCCTCACCCTCCCCGTGCACACACAGGCCGGCATCCACCGCCCACGGCCAAACTCGCCAAGACCCTGCAGCCTGGCCCCTGGTGAGTCCCCAGAGCCGGTGCGCACAGCCGGGCTGCTGCTCCGTCTTAGGGCTGAGGAAACTGAGGCTCGGAGAGGCCAGGGAGCCAACGGCCTCTGGATCCTCACCCTGGATTCCCCCCACACCACAGCACCCAGGCGTGTGCACACACCAACGCACACGTACACACACACACTCACACACACACACACGTACACACACGGGCCTGCTCTGCTGCTCTGGCACTTCCCTCCCCAAACCACACACACACTCACACACACACACGTACACACA